AAAAAAAGACAAAGAAAGGTTCATTTCCTTTTTTTTCTTTCTTTTGTTGTTTTGTCTGAACCTGATGATGTTTATGACTGCAGCTTTTTTTTTAAATAATTAAAAACAATTGAATCCCATGTATTTTATGTTTTATCAAATAAAATAATAATTATTTGCACTTGTGTTTGCACTAAAATGAAGAGAATTATAAATCGTGGTCGCACATTCTTTTCTGTTATCTTTTCGGAAGTAGCTTAATTAGAAGTATTTACTCTGATCTGTTTAATTACTAAATGTATATATGTATGTATATATATATATATACTGTACTATATATGTATATATGTATAAAGCTTGACGTTACTAAAGTACTAGTGGTATGTTGAGTACTAAAGAGTGAGTACTCATACTCAGTTTGAACAAGTGGTTTTTAACATCCCTACTCCTTAGTAAAGCTTGACGTTACTAAAAACATTTTTTTTTTCTTCTCAGAGGTTGAACAGATCGAAGCCATCGCCAAGTTTGACTACGTGGGACGGACTCCCAGAGAGTTGTCCTTCAAGAAGGGAGCCTCCCTCCTGCTGTACCACCGAGCCTCCGAGGACTGGTGGGAGGGACGGCACAACGGCGTGGACGGTCTCATCCCCCATCAGTACATAGTGGTACAAGACCTGTGAGTACCCAGAGGACGTTTCTGTTGGACCTGAACATCAGACTCATGAACCAAACGTGTATAAACTGTGTGTTCCAGTGATGATGCCTTCTCAGACAACCTCAGCCAGAAAGCAGACAGCGAGGCCAGCAGTGGACCGCTGCTGGACGACAAGGGCTCGCTTAAGAACGACGCGCCGTCACCGTGTGAACCATCACCTGACTACAACTTTGGGAGTGTCATGGGACGGTACGTGATTTCTGAGAAAAAAAACATTATACATTCAGTTTCATTCACTTCTGCTATTGAGGAGTTGTTCTGTTTGACACTAGGGTTCGGTTACGGTCTGATGGAGCGTCAATCCCACGCCATCGCAGCGGTGCAGAAACACACAGTCCGACCCGGGGAGCGGACACGCCTCCGCGAGCCGCCGCCTGTCCCAGCAGCCCTCACAAGATGTCAATCAGCAAGGGTCGTTTGGAGAGCCCCGAAAAGAGGCGTCTTGGAACGTTCGGCAGCGCAGGAAGCATCAACTACCAGGACAGGAAGGCCTATCCTGAGGGCCACCCGCTGAGGCCGGTTCCAGGAGCCACTCGCCACAGCAGCCTCGGGGATCACAAGTCCCTGGAGACGGAGGCTCTGGCTGAGGTAGGACCTGGTCACAGACCTGTGATTGGTCGTTAGACCGCGGTCACGCTGAGACGTTGTGGACCGTAGGAAATAATAAACTTGTCTCTTACTGTAACAGATGTGACGGTAGGTTAACAAACGGTTTAACATTTTTATATATTTGGAGTTTGTTAAATCGTCTCAACCTCATTTTAAAGGTAGAAGAACAAAAGAAACATTTTCAGAAATGTTTTCCTCAACACTTGAGTTGAAACTGATGATTTGTTTTTCCTAAACCAACATTGTTGAATTATTATCTATAAAAGTGGATTGTTCTGTAAAATAGCGTGCGTTTCAGTGTTTCTCAATTATTATTTGCCATGCCCCTAGGGGGCAGAGGTCTCTGCGTGCGCTTTAGTGTTTCAATTATTATGCCCCTAGGGGGCAGAGGTCTCCCTCGACCTATAGCATACTATTGAGCACATGGTAATTTTTTTATGTATTTATTTATCTGTACAAACCACTGTAGGAGTTACTGCATACAGTCCCCTGATGATCAAAATGATTTTAAAAAAGCCTGCTCTGCTGCCATCTAGTGACTGGACACTGATTTAACATTCAAAGATAAAGACAGTAGACTGAAAGTCCGCTCTAGTGCCCCCTGTGACACCTCACCGCGCCCCACTATTTAAGAATCACCAAGCAAGTTACATCCATCGACTGCATCTATTTTCCAACATTTCCAACCAATGACACAACGGTCACAAAATGTAGAGAAAAACGAAAACACAGACAGAGGGCAGCACTTTGTTACTACTGTAACATGACTGTTTCATTTCTCTCCAGGACATAGAGAAGACCATGACCACGGCCCTGCATGAGCTGCGTGAACTGGAGCGACAGAACACGGTGAAGCAGGCCCCTGACGTGGTCCTGGACACCCTGGAGCCCATGAAGAACCCCGTCGGCTCCGAGCCCGGCAGTCCGCTCCACACCATCATGATCCGCGATCCGGACGCCGCCATGCGTCGCAGCAGCAGCTCCACCTCCGAGATGATGACCACCTTCAAACCCACTCTCTCCGCTCGCCTGGCCGGGTCTCAGCTCCGCCCGCCGCCCATGAGGCCCGTGCGCCCGCCTCCGACGACGCACCGCTCCAGCAGCTCCAGCTCCTCAGGGATGGGCAGCCCCGCCGTGACGCCCACCGAGAAAATGTTTCCAAGTAACAATCCGGCTACTGGTGCTAACATGAACACCGCGGGGGACGCTGGAGATAAGACTGGCACCATGTAGCAAAGGTAGAATCTGTCAGGTCGGGGGGAGACGGTGAACGAGGGAGAGAGAGAGTGAGAGAGGGGAGAGCTGATGTGTGGAAGGAAAAGCAGATATAAATAGTTTCTTCCCTTTCTTTTTATTCCGACCTGGTTCATATTCAGGAAGCTCCTGGAGGGAGCAGGAGCAGGAGGAGGAGGAGGAGGAGGTGAAAGACGCCGAGGAGATGTCAACCCTCCGTCAAAACTTGATGAAAGATGCAGAAGAGATGTCAACCCTCCGTCAAAACTTGATCGAAGTACACCGAGCGTGTACTACAATAAGAGTATTTCTGTTATACCTCAATTTCTACACAGACCTGTGGCCATTTGCGTTCTCGTGTCAGAGACGCAAACACACTGTACGAAGATCGCACGTGAAGCAATACTGGTTCAAAACTGGTGTTGGTTTTTTACTGGTCCAGCAGAGGGGGCTGTGACGTCGGCTGATGTTCCTCCAACATCTCACCTGGACCAGGCTGGACATTCAGGCCCATATTTATTCCTCCTGGAGGTCGAAGGCCTTACTACACGTCTGTACATACTTCATTACTTGAATTTTTCTCCTCTAACTCAGTGTTAAACGTAACAACAACGTGACATTTCGTGCATCTGCAAACAAGGTTTGTAGGAAAGAAAATAAGAGAAGATGAACATGAATGGGATTCTCATGTTAGTTTGAATTCAAATAGAAGAAAAAAAATAACTAATAAAAATCCAGGTTCATTTTTTTTTTTACATCAAACTTGTTTTTCAGGCAGTGAGAAAAAAAGAGAAGAACTTCTAGTGTTTTCACTGAAAAAATATCATCTTAAATTTTACACATTTCTGCAACAGCAGTTGTCGTCGAGCCTTTCATGTCTCCACTCTAACATCATCTGAGGAGGCGTTGACTTTGTAGTTTTTGCTCATTTTCAATGTTAAAAACTTGAACCCATGACCTTCAGGTTTTTTTTCTGACTTTTTTTTAGACTGTGATGCAGACGTTGTTCTTCACGTTGGTTTGTAACATATTTGACACAGCGGCAGAAAGAAGGTCATCGGTACAGGTCACTCTAAACCAGAGGTCACCGACCTTTCTGAAACTGAGAGCTACTTCAAGGTCACTTAGTAAAAATACCAAGACCTACTTGTCTGATACAGACTTCCCCAACAATGTAATGATAATCAGTTCTGAAACTGAAATTCAAAAAGCACAGTAACAGTACATTTTTCCACCCTCTGGTTTATTGTTTCCCAAAGTCTGGGTCGCGGCCCCACCCTCTAGTTTATTGTTTCCCAAAGACTGGGTCGCAACCCTCAGGTGGGTCACGAGAGTTTTTTTGGTTTTTTTGGGTCGTCTCGCATCATGTTTTCTAGGAGTTTACGAATAATGTCGATCGACTCTGATCGCGAAGGTTTGTGACTTAAAATATGGGTCCCCAGAAAAAAAGTTCGGGAAACACTGATCCAGGTGATGAGTTTTATTTTTAGGACATACCCCAGGGGCAAATGGACTGACCATAGTGTTGGGGTGATTAGATCTCATCTCGTGGTCCTGTGATGGACCTCACCCAGATCCTACAGGTTTTTGCTCCAGCTCCCCCTGCAGGATTTGCATTAGAATTGATAATGCAGAATTGATTTTGTCAGTGAAAACACAGAGAATGTTTTTCTTTGACTTTTTTTACTTTGCAAGAAAAACAATAACATCTTTATTTTATTAGCGTTTTAAAAGAGTCTAGAACGTTCCAGAGAAGAGATTTGGAGTTTCAGTGCAACCCATTTTCCACGTCACACACCGGGTCTTTACGGTGTTGTCACGTGTAGATTGGGGTTTTCCTGCTGTTGTGTACGTCGTGCTCTTAGAGACCCGTCTCTAACGCCTCGACTCCTGAATCAACTTTCTCCATCTTTGCGTTTTGCGTTTGGCAGACACAAAGATTTTTATAATTTTTTAATTTTTTTTTTTGGACCTGTGTAAAGAAATACAGGTGGATGAAACGTCAACTATTGGTCGATTCCCTGTGGTTAACATGTACATAATACATAGAAGATAATTTCTGAGTGTTTATCTGTACAGACAATACTACAATGAAGGAGTAATACTACTAACCCCTTTGATATGATTTAAGTAAAATACTGCGGAATTCTCCCTAGCTCCTGTCTTTGGATGGTGATAGGACGATGGAATCGCTTCACTTTTTTTTTTAATTTTTATTTGGAATTTGAACCATTTTCATTTTGATTATTGCTCTAAGAAAGAGAGTGGGAGCAGTTTCAGCTCCGACCTCGGTCCATTATCTGCATCTCGATCAAACTGCTCTGTTCTGCATGTTTTTGCGCTGTAACGTCTGACTCATGTTATGCCGCAGTTAAACGATGGCTGTGTGTGGTGCCTTGCCTTGATCAAATGCAAAAATAATCTCAGTATTAGAATTAAAAAAACAAAAACAAACAAGAAACAAATACTAGGTTGTACCGTGAGCTGAGTTTGGGTTTGGATTCAGACACTTGTAGCAGATATTTGGAGACGATGTAGAACTAATTATGCTTGATTTAAAAAAAATAAAAATAAATAGAGGGTCGAACATTAGCATGTATATAAAGTGGGCACTGATTCCACTGTGAGATCTGCCGTCATCGGTGCACACTGTAGTGTTACTGACGCACATGCTGCCGATTTAAAATATCTGCTTGTACTCGGTGGACTTTTTGTATGGAGTTATAATATAATCAGGAAGGCAGGATTTTTCTTTTTTTTTTAAGTCTGAGGAGGAAAATCGCAGCACTTATAGTCATACAGCGCAACTACGCCCTCTGCTGTTTGCTGCTCGAATGGCGACTAAAGGAGTTCGTCAGTGAAATTTGCCTTTTTCTGTCCAGGTTACAGATTTGCACCTAAAAAAATAAATAAAATAAAAGCATTTACATGTTTACTGAAATATGAAAGCACACAAATTCATGGACGGAACAATAATCGTATTTAAACTTGACTGTTTTTTTTTTTTATAAACGAGGAGCAGACAAAAAAAAAAAACGAGCGCCATTTGCGCACGACATCAGTTTCTATTGTACTTTTATATTTACTTTTTACGTGTAATGTCGGGTTTTTTTGTGTTGATTCCAAACTGATGTCCTGTTCTTTTGCTTTTCTTACTGACTCTCCAAGGCAACAACAAGTGTAACGATATTTTTCCGGTTTTCCTGAACTGCTCATCTGGCTCCAGATGAAGTTTAAACTACTGTACACGTCATTTTCTGCTGAAATCGGTGGAAACATCTCCGATTTTTTTTTCTTTTTTTTTTTCCCCCGTCCTCTTTACTCCTGATGTTTTGGTTCCTGTGAAGCATCTGTGCTGCGGCGGAGCTGTAATGATTGTCATTTGGCAGCAGCAGCAGCAGCAGCAGGACTGATGGACCCTCCATTTCCAGGCACTTACAGTCGTCGGTGTTCTCTACCTGTGGATCATGTGATGTAACATGGACGTTTTTCTTCCCCCGGAGTGGATGGATTCTGTAACATAACGATGAAAAACGAGAACTTTCTCGTAATTTAAGAAGGGAGAGAGTGGACTGTGTGTGTGTGTGTGTGTGTTGAGGTGGGATCAGAGTGAGACCCCCCTCCCCCACCTTCACCCCTCCCTCACTGGTTACCTTCTCTTTAAATGTCTTAGTGGTTCTGTCTGTTGATGAACGTCTGGTTGGTAGAAACTATGGTTAAAACCCTGTGATGTGACGTCATTCCACTGACTGGATGTTGAACATTTCTGAGTCCAAATAAAACATTACTGCTCTGTGAACGGTTTTGAGACATTTGAATAGAAAACTAAATCATTAACGGCATAAAATCCAGCTTTAACTGTCCTCTATATTTGTTAAAAATATATATAAAAGTATGTAACTATATTGGTCGTTAACAAATATATAGAGGACGGTTGGATTATATTTTACATATATATGAAGCACTAAAACAGACATTTTGATATTTATAACGGTGCATTTAGACAGTTTTCGGGTATAAAATGCTGTACTTTCAAACATGTACTTCACAGTTCTAAGTAATTCTGTGTTTATTTGTGGATTTATAACCGTTTTTAGCAGCACATTACCATTTGTTCAGTTAAAGGAAATGTAGACTAAAAGTTAAAAAAAAAAGTTCAAAAGTTCAAAACTCTGATTATATATTGTTTGAAAAAATAAACACGAATTAAGAAGAACAAAACAATAGGAAGAAACACGAGTAGAAATCATGTTAGACACATTTGTTTTATATGAGGACAAACTATGAATTATTTCAATTATGTCCGTGTTAAAAAAGAAAATCTCAGCTTTGAAGTAAAGGGGCAGAAATGCGTCTTTAATTACACTCGCGGGCAGAAATGTCTTTAATTTAATTACACTCGATGACCGACAGTAAGGGGCAGAAATGCGTCTTTAATTACACTCGATGACCGACAGTAACCTGATCATGGAGGTCTCGCTGAGACAGTGTGCAGTTCAGTCTGTGGCCACACGGTGGAGAAACTGCAGCAGGGAAAGTAGCGTTTTTGATTCCCGAGGCTGAGGATTAGAAATGCAGCGCCGACTTCACCGTGAACAGAGACGGGCATAAATTACAGGATCACATCTACCTGCTCCAAATTGATTTTCTAGTCCATTGGTTGCCGTGAAACATAAACAGCTCACACACACACACACACACACACCGACGGAGCAGTAGCTGAATTCAAATTAGTTCCACCCGAAAAAGTATAGTTTCACAGAAACATGTAGAACATGAAACAATATCAACGGAAACGATTACGTTGGCGGTTGAAACGAAAGCTAAGCTACATGCTAACATGTGTAGCATTAAGACATTATCCGTTACTACAGTTATCAGATCGACCTGTAATGTAAACAAGTCATAACTTAGCTTTTTTTTTTTTTTTAATTAACATTTGTGAACTAATTGGAGCCACAACAACACAGCCAGGCAGCATTGTTTGATGCTTCTCTAAAATTAAACTGTTTAATTAACGACAGACACCAGTTGAAAAAAAAAACAGGTTTCATAAGCAACAGTCGGCAGTAATCACGTTGGCCTTTTATGCTAATTAACACACAAGTGAGGGCAAAGTCCTCAATGGATAATAAAAGGCTTTCAGGAGAGCTAACAAACCAAATTATCATGTTCCTGTTTCAAGCCCTCGACCAGCAGTTACACACTTGAACCAAAGCCCCCCC